TGTGTAAAATATTTTATCGTGAAAACGTGACAGTACAATCAACAATATATTAATTTCTTTTTGTTATTAGATACTACTATCAGTGCAATACAATCTATCTTTCTAAACGTGTCAATAAAAACTAAAAATAGATTTACCGTTATCAAATAATAATTAACTATTTTGAGAATGTCTAGTAATCGCATCCACACCATTAAGTGCTATATTCGTCGTATGGTAAGAATAAGTGGTAACACAATGGATTGTAAATTTGAAAAGCTATAACCATGTCGGTAACTCATATTAAGAAATCTTTTAACATACTCGATAAGTTAGATCTATTATATCAAACATGTCATTAAAGTTAATACTAACATTCTTGACCTATGCACAGAAGATTTTACTTAAAAAGGCCCATACAGAACGCACATTATGAAAAGCTTACATTTACAAAGTTCTTAGCAGAGGAAATCGATTATCAACTACCACATTGGAGAGAAAAATTGAAAAGAGCCTTTCTTTCTAAAATTATATATAATAGGCCACCTATAGTCTAAGTCCCTATTTGGTGGAAACTGAAATCTAATTTTTTATCAATGTAAAAATCAACAATTAATTTTACCGCACATTTATGAGATTCACAATATTTGAATCACATATTCATCATTTTTTTTTTATCAAAATCTGCTAAAAAATATAATTTTAATATCCACCAAACATATCTTTGCCTTCATCTTATTCCTATCTTCACTTAATCGTAGATTGTATGATAAATTGGGGTTGGTTTTATGGCTAATTCATAAAGGAAAAAGGTATTTTACAAAGAAGATATGGGAGATATTTTTACATAAACCCGAATTTTTTTTTAGAAAACATGAATATATTTCACCATATACATTTTAAGAATTAAACTACTTGTACGGTCTTCGTGTACATTAAGCTTGACATTTCATGATGTGTCAAAATCTGTATCATTGATTGTTTAAAATATTGTTAAAATTAATGCATAAAAAATTGTCACCTCACAAAAATGTCAAACTTGATGTACATCTACCAAATCTGACATTTTAAAAAGGTTAGGGACTGTTCTCTTTGTGTTTCAATTTTGAATTCATTTTGGATATTGTATTTTGAATGTTCATTTTGAGATTGTTGAAAATGTGTTCTTTTTTGCATTTTGAAAATTTGTTTTAAAAACACCTAAAATGCATTTCGAAAATTTCGATTTGTTTATAACTGAAAACATTTAAAATGATCGTTTTGGATTTTCTTTTATAAATTTTTAACTTGTTTTCAAAAACGCGATTTTAAAAATAGAAAACAGAACGCGTTTTCACTGTTTTAAAAAATCGAAAACNAAACGGTGAAACTGTCATTTTGTGTTTTCAATTCAAACTTTTTTTTTGTTTTCAAAAACGCGTTTTCGAAAATAGGAAAGAGAACGCGTTTTCACTGTTTTGAAAAATCGAAAACAGAAAACGATTTGAAAATGGTAAAGAAAATATACCCTTATTTTTTAAAATTTGTTAAATACTGCATGCGCTTGCAAGTACATGACACAATAATGACATTTACTGATAATTAGCGAAGTGTGAAAACGAGTAAGCGCGTGCACATACATAGCAAGGTATCAAACATCTAACAACATACCAATAATGATCGTCCAAGTGTGCATGTGTGTAGCTAGTGGGACAATTTTTTCTTTTTTTCCCCCTCTGGGCTAATACATAAGGAAAAACATTCCATAAATTTTTGTTTTTACCTTAAAAAAATTTAATTGGCTTGACCCTCGCTCTGCCCTTATATGTAGCACAAGATCAGACAACATACCCAAAAAAGATCGGCCAAGTGTTCATTATTAGAGATCTAATATCATTCACATAAATTTAGGAATGAAAAAAAAACTCGTTTAACTCGAAACTCGTAGAACCCCATCCCGTTCGGGGCGGGAATTACCCGTCTAATAGGTAAATGAGGCGGGGACATGACGATGGTCATTGTCCTGAAGCGAGTACAGGACGGGTACTAGAATCATAGTCCCCACCTCGCTACCCGTCTTGTTTAAAGTTAATTTTAAATTTAAATTTTTTATCAAACAAAAATAATAGATTTATCATATTTTTAAAGAGAACATAAGTTGTTTATAACAAATTGGTATAAAAGTAATAGTATTTACTAAGTAAAGAAAAAAATAAAAGTAAAAAAATAAAATAAATAAAAAATAAATGGGCGTGATAAACCTTGCCCCTCCCCTCATCGAACTGCTTTAAATGGGTATTATGATGGAGTAAGGTAACAAAAATACCCTATGAAATGGAAGTAAGAATGACCGACTCATCCCATACCCGTCCCGTTCCCATCTCTATAAATAATGAGCAGACAATAGTATTGTTAATGCTATTCATCCCTCCGCCGAATGTTAAAACTTCATCAACAATGTATGACACAAAAAATAAGAAAAATAAAATAATTGGGCTATTTATTTTCTAAAAATGACATTTGATTTCGTGATATTTGCTGTATTTATGAAGTCTGGTCAAAATATTTCGTAGATGGACACAGATCAGAAATTGCATTGCATCAAGGGCATAGACTATGCATTTAAGACCTTTGATTTTTCATTTTCTAGAAAACGAATTGTTCTCTCAAGACTTGAACCATTTTAGAGGGGCATTGGCATGTTTGGCTAAGCTTATTGTCAACTAAATTACTTATAAGTAGACTGTTAAAATAGTGAATTAAGAGGCACTACTCAAAAAATTCAGCAACTATTTAAATTGCAAGTTATTCAAATACGTTTGAGGACGTAAGGTCAATTAAAATTAGCTTAACAACTTTTAAAGCTAAGCGAAATATGCTAATAGGGAAATAATCGATATCCGCTGAACTGAGAAGACATATAACAAAAATAGAGGATCATGGTTAGTGTCGTAGGACGGATTTAATTTAGTTTTGTAACATATCTTTCATTGTATATGGTGTGTGTATATCAAGTTCAACTGTGTCTTTCAAAGAATTTTCACGATACAACTAGAAGTTGTAATACAAAATGAAAGAATGTTCATTTTCAAAATTACATTGGCATAATAATAATAATAATAATAATAATAATAATATTGAAAAATTTCGAATTAATGAATTCAAAATAGAAGGGGCTATATCTTGAAATTTATATTAAATTGGTAAGCTAATTTTAATTAACCTTACGCCCTCAAACGTATTTGAATAACTTGCAATAATAATAATAATAATAATAATAAATTGAAAAATTCCGAATGAATGAATTCAAAATAAAGGGGCTATCTTGAAATTCATGTAGCAGCAGCAGCAGCAGTAGTAATAATAATAATAATATTGAAAAATTTCGAATTAATGAATTCAAGGCTATCTTGAAATTTATATAAAATTGGTAAGAATCTTATTTCGAGCCTTTTTTTTTTTTTAATTTCATATTTATATTAATATCTATCATATCGTGGCTTAGAATCATTAGCAAAAAAAAAAAAAAAATGATTCGATTGATTTTGATGTTCATTTTATATTGAATTAGACTTGATTGATTGTAGTACGAGTAAAAGTATATTAATTTTTAATTGATTAATGCAAAGAGACTTGGTCTTGAGATAGCCTCTCTCCATTTTCTCCCTAAGTGAATGTAGTTTCATATCATTTTCCTTTGTCTATTTATTATAAAGACCAAGCCAAGTCCATCATCTAGTTTCTTTGAAAGTATGCAATTGTGATGTATGCAATAGAAAATAAGTGTGAAAGCCCTTTAATTTAAGACACATACGGCCGGATTTTTTTTATTTAATTGCAATACATAAAAGTAATATCAATAAAGTATAGATTATGTCACAAATTAAGATAATTGATTAAAAGTAGCCCAAAAGGGAAAAATCATTAATCTCACACCTTAATGTAAATCCAAATACACATAAATCTTTGCTATTGTTGTTTTTTCTTCTTTTTGTTGATTCATTTCTTAAATAAAGATTAAAAACCCCTTAAAGGGCAAAATGAAGTGAGAGAAGGCAAAATAAATTTTTGGTATGAGCAATAGACAAAATTAATTGCATGTTACAATACACAAAATTTTAACTCTATTTTCATATTTAGGGTCCATTTGGTAGGATTTTAGGATGTGTTTGATGGATATTATTGAGGAATGAATGCATTTTAAATAGCGACATGATGAAAAATATGTGATTAAAAAGTAATAAAAAATTATTGATGTAATGGAAAAATATAATTTTATTGAAAAATGTGTGGTTGAAAATGAGTTTTAAAAAATGTATTTTAAAAAAATGTGGATCAAACAGAGGCTCAATTTATTATAGAAGAGTTTTCTGAACCTAATAACGTTTTCGCACATAGACGTGGCGATGGTGATGAATGAAATGAATGGCACCTGTGTTAGTGAAGGAAGTGGTGTGGGTGGGTTCGGTTAGGTCGGGGTGGGGTGGGGTGGGGTGGGGTATATTTGAATATACCTAATTTTTGTTAAAAAAATTGATACCTATTTTTTGAAATTAAAAGTTTAAATGTAGGGTTTTAAATAATTTTCATTTTAATGAATCAATAGACTTAGAACGTCCCTTAGATTTTTATTTTGAGTAAATTAATGAGCTATGGAAGTATCTAACTATTACAGAGGAACCCACGTTTACAAATTTTCGATCAGAACATGCATTTCCGAGGAAGTCTATTCCTATTTTATGGTCTGACATTCGAACTCACTAGAGGCATCCTAAAGTTAAGAAAGATAATGTGTAAAAAAAAGGAAGAGACTTTGATAGAGAAATTTCCGAGATGATATGTACGAATGAGATATTCAGCACCAAAAGAAGGAATATGGTTGATTTTGATGAATTATTACTCGATATCTCTTTCATTGTATTCCATTGTGGCTAAGATCCCTTTGGACTTTTGAGCCTTAAATAATAATGGAAAAGAATAAAAATAAAAGAAGAACGTCCCTGCAACATGTCAATTCAGTGAAGTTACAAGCTATTACCAGCTCATGCAGTGACTTCCATTGCCACTGTCCTCTTCTCAAGATCTTCTAAAGCTGACCACAACTTTGAATCTGTAAAATCCTTGATGACAAAAGTTGCGCCGGCTTCAGACAGTAATTTCTCCGGGTTCCTCACAGCCAAACCAACTACTGGCATCCCAGCATCCGTCCCTGCTTTTATTCCTGAAACGGAATCCTTTTTATGCAAACAAAAATGACAAACAGTTACAACTTATTTAAGAAATACATAAAATACAACAATATATAGGTAGTGATATCAGAATTTCAAGAGCAAGGTAAACCTCGAACACAAATGCATGCTCGGGGGATACTTCAAGCGCCCGAAGACCCTCCAAGTAAGGATCAGGAAAAGGTTTTGCTCGCTCACATTCACTTCCAATGATCAGTATTTCAAAAAAATCCACAAGGCCAAGTTGCGGGAGCATCATTTCAACATTTGGTCTGGGAGCATTAGTAACAGCAGCTCGTTTCAAACCACGATCTTCAATCCAGTTACACAACTCGTCAAGGCCGGCTATAGGTTTTAATTGTTCTGATGCCAACCTGTGTATTCAGTAAAATAGTAGGAATGAGGGATCTGAAAAGACTGTTAATTGTGTGCAATCTTCACTCAATTTAACAGGCAAGAGTTTTTGACATGAATAAGGTTTAGTTAACCATTGAATGACAAAGGTTTCACAAATTTATTGAACCTAAAGTCAGAATGGAGGCAGGGACATTCAATCAAGTACAATGAAATGTACAGTTCTCGACAATATAAAGATGTAATTATTGTAATCAACAGATCACCTAAACAACTGAAAAAGTGTATGATGGGCAACTCTACAACCTCGTCCATAACTTTTTCCAAGACTTGAAAAAAAAAAATCAGCTGGTGTTCTTACTTGAACTTGGTGGGCTCACCCCCATATGAAAAGGTAGGAGAGAGAACTTTAGGATAATCATTATAGTCTAGCTCTGGACAAATATAAGATTGTATAATAAATTTTTTTTTTATAGTCTGTTAATTAGATCCCAAGTTCGGGACCCTCCATAGTAAAATAGAGCTGGCCTAGGGTTACCTTCGGAAAAATTCTTCCTTATCATCCATAAATTTCCGGGCTTTTTCGAGATCCCATTCGGGGAACAGAACACGACATAATTCTTCATTATGCTTGCCACTAATGTTTTTTATGAAGAATTCCTCGCTTATTGGTTCTCCCCCGTTGAAACCTACCTGTTAGATGTGCCTATATTATTGAACTCTTTAATGCAATAGATAAAGATTTGGGCAGGAACTAGCACATAAACATAAATCGAATGAAAGAAAAAAAAAGGTTTTAACCTCTTGCAGCATTTCTCTGAAAGCGTTGTAGTGAATAGGATCTGAATCACACAGTGTTCCATCAATATCAAATAGTATTGCCTCCAGAGGAGCAACAGTAGAAAGTGAAGATTTTCTAAGTAAATATTAAAGATTAGTTAGAATGAAGAAAGTTCAGGGATGTCAATAATCATAAAAAACATTCAGATAAGGCAGCTTCAGTTTTGATCATTTAGAAGTTGCAGCGATGAACAAAAATCAGCTAATAGCCACTGTAGAGAACTTGTGGCGTGCAATAATTACACATGAGAGGATATTTTCCAGCTATATTTGGCAGTTAGAGGAGATCAGTTGTTTGTTGGTTCAATATATAAACCCAATTTCTATTTTGTATTTAATTTCGAAAATAAACAATGAACAAGTCAAGAAGTTGTGGATTGGAGACATAACNGTGGCTTGGAGACATATCTTCAATCACTCTGGCATATGGTGGTTGAAATTTTAGGATGTGTCTGGTGGAGCTTTTTAAACATAAAAAAAGGATTTTTGTACCGTTAATTTTTAAACTCAGCAGCCATTGTTGACCCTATGTCTCACAGGTGGGAACCACATGTTGAAAAAAAGGATAACTTTTCTGCTCAAAATCTGATGAAAATTTCTAACAGACACACCCTTAGCGTATATGGTAGTTTCAATGTAAAACAATATCTTGGAAGTGAAAAAGGGAAAAAAAAATGCATTCATCTCGAAAGCACTTCAAATGTAAAAGCAAACTCTGCACAACTTCTGAATCAGGAATGTGCATCTATTGCAAATCTTTATTTCTTTCTTTTTTCTTCTCCAATTCTTTCTCATATGGCAATCAAGTATGATGTTCTGTAACTCAACCATACATCCAGATGATAATGTTAAAGATGAAGCCATAGAATGACTTTTTTTTTGATAATTAATGAAACATAGATTCAAAA